CCGGGAGATGGGAAGGAGGAGAATGTCTCTCTTTGGGCTTTGGGAGAAGAAAGCAGAGTCCAATATGTCACCAATACAGCAGTACTGCACGGGGATACCCCCAGACAGAAAGGGGTTTTCATATTATATTGCCAAACACTGACAAACATTCCACCGCGCTCCGTCCCCTGTGTCTCAAATTTGTGAGGCCATCAGAGCAGTTGAACAATCAGAGACGACTGTGGCGTAGTCAAATTGTCTGCATTGACGTTATTCGGAATCACAGACTAGAAGAAAAACCTAACCCTCTGGAGCTCATGGGTCAGGCCTTGGACTCCGTGTCTTATAGGTGATTGTTGCTGAACCTGCACTTATTCATTCTTAGACCTTCAGAAAAGGAAGGAGGACAGTGGTTACAAAAGATTTCCCCAATTTTAGAGGGAATGAACGCAGCAACAGCAGACGGCAGGATTTGGGTGCTAAATAAAATAATGTGGCCAAAAGATGCCATTGTTTGAAATTAGGCCCTTCACTGACAGGTCATTAAGTTCTGCCGCTAGTTTAATTTCTTGTGTGGACCTAATACAGGAAACCATACATGGGTGGTAATTTTTTCCCCCCCAATCTCAGAGGAAATGTAACCGGGTATGAACTAGTGGCACAACTCATATATCAGTAGTCTGTAGCGGGTCTACATAAATCCTTTTCTTTAAAGTTATTTAACTGTTTTGAAAATGGTTTCAACAGAAGTAATTCCAATTGCACCAGAAAGGAAACCAGAGTCTTAAAGAAAAATATACTCTCTTTGCTGAGCAAGGCAAACATATCAGTATGCAGAGAAACAAACCAGTCTCTTGTGTTTTATTTCCTTAACAAATCCACTGAAACACTTACTTTGTGCCTTTAAAAGGCTGATAGACAAAGAATTCTGTGGCCACTAAAAATTAATGCCTACAAACTGGTTTGTAACCACTTTAAAAGGACAGGAACTTTTTTTTTTTTAAACAAATTTGTTTCTCTCTTATTCACAGTATCTCATTATGGGACTTTGCACATATTGTAAACACAATAAATATTTGTTGGTTTTTAAAAAGAACTCATCAAAAACGTATTCTCTGGAGAAGGAGTTTGTATTTTCCCACATCATGCATAAACTAACACATTGCTGTCACAAACCTAGCCCTTTTTAGGGCCAAGCCCTTGTAGTATTTTTTTTAAAACTAATATTTTTCCAATATGCTGTAAGTGGCACTTTCTGTCATGGTGTTGCTTTTTGACTCTTCCAGGAATTAATGTTTAAAATAAAAACCCTTATATCTGCGAAAGGTGAGAACTTAATATTATTTAAAGCCGACTAATTCAAGTCCTATGGTGAAACTGAGAACGAGAAGATGTGAATGTACAGACTAGATGGCTCTAACAGAAGCACAGTTGTTTTCCATAGTCAATGGAACCGATAATAAATTAATTTAGACCTTGACCCATTTCAGCCCTTGGGTCCACAGACTGAGGCAGAAGAAACTGTTTGTTATTAGTCTTACTTTCCCAAGATCTTCCTACGGCTCACCTCCTTAATGCCTTGAAATTTTCACTCAAATGTCACCTCAGTATGGCCTTACCTGACCACTCTATTTTATTATTTTTGTTTGTTTGTTTTTGTTTTGTTTTTTAATTTTTTTATTGTTAGTTTCAGGTGTACAGAACAATGCAATAGTTATCCTTTTCACCCTCACAAAGTAACAACCCCCTCCCCCATCCACTGCCCTCCCACCCCCAATAGCATGCTTCTCTATTACAATTCCATTGATTCCATCCCCACTCTCTACTCCACGTCCCGTGACTATATGTATATATAATTACAATTGACATACAATATTATTCAACATCAGCTTCAGAAATACAGTGTGGTGGTCAGGCCTCTACACCGACTATGAAGTGGTCTCCCCAACAGGACGTGCACTCTATTTTAAATTTCAGCTCATCCTCCCATCACCAGCATGCCCCAATCCCCATTTGCAGCTTGCTATTTTCCCCACAGCACTTATCTGATACAGTATATGTTTTGTTTATTGGCTTGTGGTTTCTCTCCCCTAACTCCAACGGAAGCCCCATGAGCACAGAGATTTTTTTGGTCTGTCTTGTTCTCTGTCATATTCCCAGCACCTGGTACATGGTAAGTGCTCAATAAATCTTTGGTGACGTACAAGCTAAGGTAACACTAGTTTAAAGGTTTCTGGTTATGGGTATTCCCAACTCTCTTGGTGGTATAAAAAGCAGTTTCATATCAGTTACTTTATTTGGTTATTCTTACAACAACACTGTGTTTTAAGAAAGGATTATTATCCCAGTTCAGTAATCAAAGAAATAGGGCCTCAGAGAGTTCCTATGAATTGTGTAAAATCAAGAAGCTAGCAAGTAGACTCCAGCCTCGAACCCCGATCTGTTACTTCCCGTGGTGTCCTGCTCCCACCAAGGTTGAGAATCTGTCTGGCCAAGGGACTTAATGCTTTAGAGTAAGCATTGCTGGTCAGGTCTCAGGGCAGCAGATTCTGAAATGAAAATGGGAACAGAATTTGGACGCGGCATGTAAATTCTTGATAAAACAGCCCATCTTGGATGGCTTTCAAGGATGTGAAGCCTCACTTCTCAGCAGAGCCTTCCATGTAGATGTGCCATCCATGTTGAGGCCGTGCGATGTCCGGCTCAGAGAGCCTCCACAAACCCCTCCTTACACTGCAACTGACCATCATACCGGCTTGCTCTTCCTCGCCTTTTCTATTTCACATCCTGCATGGGGAGGAATGCAGTATGCATAATGGTTAAATATCAAAGACTCAAAAACAGGCTAAACCAGACAGAACTTGAAGCTTCATGTGGTTGGCAGTTTTGTTTTTTTTTTGGAGGGGTATGTGTGTGTGTGTGGGGGGGGGCGGGGAATACTCTGTTTCCTCATCTATAAAATTAGCCTAATGGTTCCAAGGTCTGATAAATAAATTAGATTCAAGTAAATATTCATCACCGCCTTAGGTATTATTATTGTGTATCTTCTTTATCTCTTCTGCTAGATCATAAGGTCATACAAAGCAAGGCACTTGACTGGCTTTGTTAGTTTGCTGGGGCTTCTGTAACAAAGCACCACTGACCGGGTGTTTAAACAGTAGAAACGTGTCACAGTTCTGGACGCTAGAATTCCGACATCAAGGTGTTGGCAGAGTTGGTTCCTCTGAGGCACGTGAGGAGGAATCTTGGCCATGCCTCCTCCCTACTTGCTGGTGGTTTGCTTGCAATCCTTGGTGTTCCTTGGCCTATAGAAGCATCACCCCAATCTCTGCCTTCCTCTTCACATGGTGTTCTTCATGTGTGTGACTCTGTGACTAAATTTCCCCTTTTACAATAATAAGGACACCTGTCATATTGGATTTGGTGCCCACTCTACTCCAGCACATATGTCCTTATTTTAACTAACTACATCAGCAACAACCCGATTTCCCAATACGGTCACATTCTGAGGTACTGGGGGTTAGGTCTTCAACGTATGCATTTGGGGATGGGGATACAATATAACACATTACATGGGCCTTATCACCTTTGTCCTCATTGTATTCACTTGCAATTAGTAAATGTCAGGGCATCGCTGCTGAATCCGTTACATTTAACCTTTTTATTTCATAGGTATATGTTAATAATAAATGTGTTCATGTGTTAATAATAAAGGACAATTTTCCTTAAAAGTGCTTTACTTTTTTTTGATATCTATATAGTGTGATTATAAAGCAATGAGATTGGTTCCACAATTCACCCATGTGTATATAGAGTACTGTATTTCAATGAAAATTCAGATTTAAAAAAGTTAAATATCTAAATTGCAATACTATACTTTATACATCCATATTTAAATAATTGATACTCCTTCCACAGATGACTTGCTTGATATAGTTAGAACTTTTGGAGTTGCTTTTCAAGACATATATGTATATATACACACTTATTTAAGCTTGTGATCTTATAGAAGACCTGTACATATTTGCTGAATGAATGACTATATGAATGAGTACATGGGGGAGGAGTGAAATCTTTTCTTTCAAACTCCATTTGAACCAATGAAATCAGTAACTTACAGTGAATATGATACTTAAGAGAGGAGGTAATATATTAAAAACGTATGAAAACAAGTTTTAATTTTTTTAGATCATTTTATTTCTATAAGTTGGGTTTTCGGGGGACACCTTGATCTCCCTCCCCTACATTGACTGATGATTTCAAGCGCTCTGCAATGAAAGGGGCCCCTAAGGAAGGCAGGTTGCAGGCAGCAGAGATCCAGTGAGTCCATTTGCATAGGGCAGAAGGGCACTGTAACATCTGGCTGGGGTGGCTGACTGGGTCCATTTGTTAGTGCTCATTAAATTCACATTAATGCACGAGCTGCTCCGAATGTGTAAATGCCATGTCAGGTTGGTTGCTTTCTCCCAGGCCAATGGCAATGACTTTTGGGGCCCTATCCGCTCCCCCCCCCTGACCCCCACCCCTGTTTACTTGCCAATGGCATCTGACCTGAGGTCAGACCTGTATTTAACCCTTTCTTGTAGGTCAAAAACAAATTAATTTGGTGAGAATTCAATTGGAAATGAGTCGTCTGTACAGCAGGTGTCCCCTGTGGAGAATGTGCCCCAGGTGGAAACATTTTAAGATCTGTTCCTGGGCCATCTCCGAAGAAGCGCCCAGGGTCAGAGAGGCAATTCCAAGACATCCCATGGGCGGAGGGCCTGGCGATGGATGGAGCAGGTGCTGACTCAGGGCGGTTTTCTCAGCAGCTTGGGGGGAACTTTCAAAGAGGCCCCTTTTGGAGATAATTTATTTATATATTCATGAACATAGATCTTGGGCATTCATTGTGGACTGATTTACTTAGAAGTTTCCCCAAATGATTGAAACTTGACCCTTTGCCCTACCTCCCACCATCAACCCAAGACTTTGATTTGAAGGAAAGATAATAATGCATTTTTCTCTTTCTTTTTTGCTAGAGGATGAGGAAGATGAGGAAATGGTGGAACCCAAAATTGGCCATGATTCAGAACTGGAAAATCAAGACAAAAAACAGGAGGTGACAGAAGGTATGGTATGGGAGATAAATGAAATCACATTTTCTTTATTATTTTTTTTAACAACATAAGGGACTATATAGAGGTAAGTAGAAATTAAATGTGCACCCCCTATGTGGAAGGTTTTCTATGACTGTTCAATATATTACATTTGCCACCGTGAACTTTAATCTTCAAAGCAAGAATCATTTGTTTTTTTTTTAATGATAGAAGCAAATAAGATACAAACCATCTGCATTTCCAGCAATTTAAGGCCACTCACTATTCCAGCAAAAGTATTACTAAATAGGGATAAAATAAAACACTTTTTATTAATTGTCTGGTTATCTGGTTCACTCTATTGTATATTCCCAATGATAACAGTAACAAGAAAGCAAAATAAAAGAAAGGGGAAAACAATAAATACTACAGGTGATGTTTCCCTAAAAATCTAACTTTGCATCCTTTTGAGATGCTCAGAGAGAATTTTGAAATTGCCTGTCTTACTGGCAAATGGAGTGTCCATGAGAACAGAGTGTAGATTAAAAAGATTTTTCCATATTTCTGACTAAATGTCCCAAATATAGATCAACATAATTCTAATTATAAGCCCATTTGACTTAAAAATTTTAAAGATGCCTGTGGCTCAGGCACAGTGTGTGTCACATATTTGTCCCTGGGGACTTTTGTAGGAATGGTCCCATATTGACCATACGTATGCACTCACTTCATCCTGCTGAGGCATGGAGTGAGAGAGATTACTGTCAAGCTCTGGGGTACAACTGAGGCAGGGAGGGGATTCAGCATTGACAGTGGCATCCATAGAAGGCACAATTACTTCCTTCAACAGATTGTAAATGGATTTGATTGAAGAGATTTCACCTTTAAAACTTTTATTAAGAACATTAAAAAAAAAAGCTGATGAATAGAATGTCATTAACACAGGTATAGCACAAGACAAAATAAGTCAGGATTTATTAAAATACCCTCTTGTTTCTTTTGCAAAATACCCTTGAGATATACTGGGTGATACGGAGCCCAGGGTTTTGTGTCTCTTGGCACTGATCCCCACCCTCTCACAGCCCCAGTCTCCAAATCATTGTCTTTGACCAAGCATTGCAACCTCCGTCTTCACTTCTGAGCAAAAACACCCTCCAGTTTTAACTGTTACTCATGCTTCATGGAATTGATTAAAGTCCTGGTAAAAGTCGAAAAGGAGTCAGAAAGCACCTTTCCTATTACTGCTGCCCTGTGTGCCTTAGTCTCTATTAATGGCTTTTCTGCAAATTAGCTCATAATGGGTTAAAAACATGTTTATGTTGGCATCAAACTCTCTGGCTTTTTTTTTTTTTTAAAGCAAGACAGTATTTTGCAAACTTTTTAAAGAATCTCTAGCAGATATAATCGTGGCGCCATTCACACGGCTGCATAGTAGTTAGGGCTGTGTCAGCACTTCCATTATGAACCCTGAGTTTCAGGGATTTATTACTCAGCCATAAAAATTTGCTCTGGGCTGAAACTTGACATACATGGTTTCAAACCAGGGAACACATTTTTGAGAAATCTGGCCTTTTTTGGAGTTACCAAAAAAAAAAGTGGTGAGGGGAGATGGGGAAAAAAAAAATCAGTGCACACTAGCTTTTGACATTTTTGACCATGTGACATCAAAATGCATTAAACAGTAAAGAAATATGGGTTTGATTTATTACTGTTTTCACTCTTTTTTTTTCCACAACAGAGCAGAGCAAAACAGCAGGTACATTTTAGCTTTTAATCAAAATTTAGGGAATTTTTGTATGTGAGTATCTTAATATCTTCATGTTTGAAGAGTTAAAACAACAGAATCAGAGACCTAACTCTTGTAAATACACATCAACTCATAAACCTCACATTAACTCATAAACCTTAACTTCAGAGAAGGATATTCTTCTTTATTAGTTTGGTTTGATTTTCTTGCTCTTGTTTATGAACTGATTTCACTGTAAAATTCCCCTAAGAGCCACTCTCCTTACTTAATCTGATTTTAAATTTAAGCTAGTGGGTTTACATATGTATTTTTTATCTTTTAAATATATTCTTGAAAAATATTAAAGGATGTAATTTTTTATGTTGGAATTTAGAGCTACATTCATTGAAATAAGGCAAGCCATTTCTGAAGTGGATATTTAAAAAAACAAGAAACAAAAAAACTTCTCACCTAAAAATGAGATTATAAAATACTCAGTATAAATTGTGAATTTCATTATGAATTTTACATTTTAATGGAGAAAAAGCCTAAGAACCCAAGAAACCAAAAGATATACTGCATAGTAAATAGAATAAATTAAAAAGAAACTGAAAAACTACACCTTAAGATCTAAAGAAAATTCAGGAAAGCAGAAGGAATAGGATAAAATGATCATGAAAGACATAAAAAAGTAGTTTCATATGTAAAACCAAGAGAAATTAACATTTCTATAATAAATAGAATAAAAAGTCAAGCCTAAAAAATTTATATTAGATTTTAATTTTGTAGGACATGAATTCATAGAACTAGGCAGTCTTCTAAACTTTGAATTTCATGAATGCAGTACATTGTTTTCATACTTGTTATTCAAGCTAAATATAACTGTTCAGGTAAATTTTGTTAAGTTTGGAAATTTGTCATGTCATTTGAATCATATGTAAGTCATATTCATGTGTCCTACTTTTCATAAAGAATCTTTTTTTTAAAAGGTCACTTTAAATGCACAAAGTATTGTTAGCTCTTGGCAGAAATACTAAATATTTTGTTGCAAAAACAAACAACAAACTTGCTATAATAGCATTTTCTGCTTAACTTATTAAAAAGTCAGATATGAATTCCCATGTTTTGCTCTGATATGCATTTTGCTAGTAAATTAATCCCTACCTATTTTTGCAATGAACATGTTAAAAATAATTTATTAGGTTCCAGTGATAGGAAAAAGCTGCACAAACAGATATATCAGGGGAAATTTGGGATCTCTCCTGGGGGTAATACAATTGTGATTCCAATTATTTATGCTTGTATTTTGAACCTTGTAGATTCCATTAATTGACCAATTTTCTTTTATAAAATATGATGTCTGGAGAGGTTTTATCTCTGAATACAGCTTTTGATTGTGGTTCCTGGATACCCCATTAGGTTTTCATTTTATTGTAAAAACGCTTATCAATTTAAAGATTTTTAAATATGGGAAGTTTGGAGTTTTTATCGAAGATAACTATGGTCCTATTTAACTCCTAGGTTGAATATTGTTTATTGTTTTAAGGAAGTATTTGCATCTTATTATTTTGTGCTAACAAATCATGTCATTTGATCTCTGTTAGACATCAAAGCGTAATATAAAAGATATCCTTTGTTTTGCTTCAGTAGCAATTAAATTTCAAGCCAAATATTGTATTGTCAAATATAATATCTGGAGCGGCTACTGCTTCACCTACCTGAACTTGGCCTCTGCAAATACACTTTGATCAGCCATTTATGTTTCTCTTAGAGAAGAAGTTGTATGTCTTGAAAGCTGAGATCAAAGTGGCAATAAGCTACAAGGAAGAAAAAAATTACAGAAAATTACACAGATACTTTTTTTATTCAAGGTAATGGACCTGTAAGGAAAGATACAGGTGAAGTACAAGTAGCTGAAAAAGATAAACAGAGAATAGAAAGTTAATATATATATATTATTACATATATAAAATAAAAAAAGGAATAAAGGGGAAAATTTCTATTCCTTTGCTTAATTTCAAATTGTCTCATGTCATCCATCAACAGTGACTAAGGCTGAAGGAGGCTTTTAAAATAAGACATTCTTCTTGGCCTGATAGTGTCTTTGTTTCGTGACATTTATTTATTTATGTAACAGTACTAACCAAAACAAAATGACCCTAACATTTTGTAGTTTTTGTTTTTTTTCCTTTTGCCTAGCTACATTTAGTAGTTTTGCTGTTTTCTTGAATTTACATACAGATGAAAAATTCAAATTCCTTATTTATGGGAGTTTTTAAAAATAGACCAATAAATTTCTACTTAATTACTAATTAATGACCGCTTAATTATTTGCCCCATATAGTTATCTTTAACACTTAAGTCAGACTTAAAATTTAGGTATCATTACCTCATTTTCTAGATAAAACTGCTTCTCAGAGAGCTTTAATTGGTTAAAGAATCAAAGCTAACATACGGCACAGTATATGTTGGATTCCAGGTTGGTGTTGTAGAGCTCTTCTCACCTGTGGTCTATAAATTGCGCACTTCATGATTTCTCAAACTAGTGTCTGGGTGACACTGCTTAACGGAAGTTGATGGGGGTTCTTGGAGAGTCCCAGTACTCGCTGGCATATTTAGGGCCCTGGAGGCTTCAGCAGCAAAGAAATATTTCTAACTGTATGTAGGGCTGCTAGAAACTATGGGGTGGACTGTGTTTGGAGAAGATCTCTGTCCTGTAGTGCATGAATCATTTTGTTATATTACCTGGAGAGCGCTTCTCAAGGTGTGATCCATCTACGTCAGAATCATTCTAGTTTCTTGTACAAATACAGGGTTTTGGAGTCATTCTAGACCTCCTGCATCGGTGTCTGGGGCAGGAAAGGGGAGACTGGAAGGGGAGAGACATTATGAACTTTAAAAGCTTGAGACCCACTGCCATGGTTCAGTAGAAGTGCTTTGGGACAATTCCAATTTCTCAGGACAATGGTTTTGCGATACCATTAATAGAATCAAATAACATTTCCACAAAACATTATGTTACAGGTGACTGACTCTACCTAAAGGATTCCTCTGACATTGTGGCCAGGTAGAAATTGCTCCTGATTGTGGGGATGGTGGTGGAAGTTTTGGGGAAATGATGCACTGCCCTCCTTCTGTAGCTTAAACTTCAGGTGTTTTTGGTTCTCCTGAAACAGTAATTGATCAAATGTTTATTGAAGGCACTCTGCCTGAGAGTTGACTGGGGGTTCCTGAAGAATCCCAAAGGTTCAGTTGACAGTTTCTGCCCTTGAGTGCTTCTCAGTGTGGGGAGTTCTTAGTCCTTTCTCTATTGCTTTAGGTAAGCCCTGCGACTGAAGAAACAAGTTTAGGTAACCCAATTGTGACTCTGAGGTGAACTGACTTTCTTGCAGACACTATGACATATTGTTAGCTATTGAAGCTCTCTTGGCCTCATTGTGCGTCTTCAAAATTAGTCTGATAAGACTAATCATGCCAGAGAAGTAAGGCATAAAAGCAAGTATGAGGTGTCTTACAGAAGCATTTACCTGTTCCATGTGTTTGTTTAAACACAGAAGATATTTTGGGTGAAAGTGGGTTTGGAAGGATGTGTTTCAGGTTTTGAGTGGAATCTATATAACAGTCAAGTCAACCTTATCAACTCACCATGTAAAATAAAATGAATTTATCCAAAGAAAGAGGAAAGGTGCTATCTGAATCATATTATAGATAGTCCTTAACTATTTAATATGTGCAGCTTTACAATAGTATGTAATATACATGGTTTTAAATTTCTCTATTACGTACTATTTCAGCTTTTTTTCAAGTTCAGTCCTAAGGAAAATAAAGTTATTGAAAGCTGCTTACCAAAAACCCACCACACTATTTTTATTTGTAATTTTTTTCAACTCTTCCAAATTGTAATTAGGCCAGATATGAAATCTTTTTGTAAAATTGGCAGTGGAGACATCTGCAAAAACCTTTTGGTGTGAATTTGGGAGTGATTTAGACTAGATATTAACAATGGCTTATCTCACTGTCTTATCACTCCTTTGATAAGCAGCTTCTTTTGAGAGTTGGATTCCATTCCGTGTGAAATGTTTTTAATTGTCCTTTTTTCTTTCCTAACAATCTCTTTTACTTAATAAAGCCCCTCCAAGGGAGCTGACAGAGGAAGAAAAACAGCAGATCCTTCACTCAGAGGAATTTCTCATCTTTTTTGATCGGACCATACGGGTAATTGAAAGAGCACTGGCAGAAGACTCTGACATCTTCTTTGACTACAGCGGTCGAGAGTTAGAGGAAAAAGATGGGTTAGTTTCTTGTGTGCATTAAAAAAAAAATACAGTGGTACATTATCTATTGATGTGAAATTCATGTATGTATTGACTAGCCACATCCCAAACCTAAGAAATCAGAGGAGGATGAAATTCCAGGGTTGATCTTGCTAAACAGCTTTGACTAAGGACTTTGGTTATAACTTCTGGCTTAGAGTTTCCCTATAATTATCATGTGCTTCCGTGAAATGCTTTTGAACTTGATATCTGGGTAACAGTCCAGGTGATAGATACTGGCAGAGTCATATACATTGTCCTCTGAGAAAAAAAACCCCTACTCAGCAGCAAAAGGAGATTTGCGTTATATCCAGTAGATCTGTTTTTTATGTCTAAGCAAACGGAAGCTGAACAAAATAAACATGAGATATGAGAGACCGTAACTGATGTGGGAGACAGTGAACAGAGACTGGAAACATTTTCCTCTTTGGATATCATAAGATTATGTGTATATGCCTTTTAGGACACACTTGCACATGGATCTATATTTACAGATAAAACAAACAAAAATGAATCAATAAAAGCAAATGACCCCAAATGACTGTCTCTGTGATGGCAACATATATATTCTAAAAGGTGGTGGCTGCTAACCATCATCAGAGGGATAATAGGAGGCACTTTGTGAACTTTGTAAGAGATAGAATTAGCTGGTTTTTAGCCACCCATTTCTTTGGGCCAAGAACAATATGAAAAGGTGAGATCACCTGCCTTTTTCATCAGACCTGACTTTACTATTTCTAAAATTCAAATACATTCTCAAAGGACAACCTATCATCATTGAGGAAGCTCAAAGGACTGTAACAGAGGCCCAGAAAACAGTTTGCAAAGGGAGTTCTGAAAATGTCCTAACAGCTGACAGCATCCTTAGCCTACTTCAAAGAGACGACAGTATGTTGACTATACATGTTCTGAGACGTTTGTTTTCTTTTTCAAACGCCTATTCTGTGTGGCTCAGTTGGTTTTCTGGGTTCTACTTCCTCCTGGGTGCCTGGCCCAGTATTATTCTGGCTTCCTGGCAGTTACTTGGGTGCATGTACCTCTTGCCTTAGTTTGCAATGGTGGAGCTGAGGAAGGGTTAGCAGGAGAAAGAAACTCATAATAAGTCAGCTGATTAGAGCGTAAGCAAATAATCTGAACCCAGGTCACCCAGCCTAAACAAGAGCTATGAGTATATAAGACATGGATGCAGGGTGCAAGCCAATGGAATGAAGCAAGTGAACTGAAAAAAGTGACTGAAAAGAAACTCCTGAACTGAAGCCCAAGGCATTTAGGCAGCTGTTTATGCATACCCCAAAAAGCTGCTGGAATAGAATAAGCAATACTCCATTTAAACTTGGGGAGCAAATGCGTGACCAGCTCAGAGTTCTTCAGAGGAGATTTTGTGGCCAACTGAATATCAGCCAAGTAAACACTAGCCAAAGTGTAACCCAGATGCCATTTTGGCCTATGTTAAGTATCTAATATGTTTGGTAAATTCCCCACTTTCCACCATGTCTGTCTCTTGGTAGAACTTATCACTTACTATTGAGCAGGGAGGTAACTGCTATAGTCATTCAGAAATTATAGGTAAAGAGAAACACGTATATTATCTCTGGTCTAAGGCTAGATAAGGGGGTATGGATATCAAAAAATCTCCAAGTGTCCTGTGCTTCATTGACAGCTGGGAGATTTCTGGTAAAGTCTGCTTCAAGATGGAACTTATTGGGAAGAGGAGAATCCTTTAGGACTGATCAAGATGAGAACCTGAGACAAATTTGACATTTTGTAGCAGGCTTGGAACAACAACATGTGGAAACCTTTTCTGGGCCAACTTAGAGAGAGCTTGTCATAAAGGAGACCTTCATTCATTCATTTATTTGTGGTTAGAATTTTCTATCTAAATTGATGCTTTAGCTTCAGAGAATACTGTGTGCCATACTCTTGCCATTTTATTCTTTCACTATAAGCAGCAGAGATAAAGCCCCATTCTGAAGCACCTTATTTGTCTTTGATGTTTCAATCCTACTAGGGATGTCCAGGCTGGAGCCAACCTGTCTTTCAACCGTCAGTTCTATGATGAGCATTGGTCCAAGCACCGAGTAGTCACTTGTATGGACTGGTCTCTCCAGGTAAGAATTATTGCTGGAGTGGGACAAACTGGGTTTGTGTTCTCATGGGATTTGTATAAAAAAATAAGAGATTTGCTCCACCATTTTTTATATGTTCACTAATCTACATTTTTTTCTATGCCTATTGCTTGCCTTTCTTATTTTACTGAGTTTTCAGTTTAATTTTTGCATTCTGTTATTCATATACATTGAGAAATTACTGTGTGCCAGGTACCAGACACGGATCCAGGCCATTCTGTCTGTGAACTTGCTCTTGTTAAGGTCACAACTGATTTCCTACTTGTCAAATCCTGTGAATACTTTTTTTTTTTTTTAGATTTTATTGGGGAATTGGGGGAGGGGAGCAGCATTGGGGAATCGGGGAAGGGGAACAGACAAGTTGCTGTCCTTTTGTTCTTCAGTCTAGTTGTGGAGGACATTGCTTCACTGGCCCATGTTGGTATTATCATTTTGCTCTTCCCGGATGAGGCAGTCACTTGCCGGCCATTGAACTGCTGCTCATGGTGGCTCACAGTGGCTCATGGTGACTCACAGCCGCTCACATCAGCTCACAGCAGCTCACAGCAGCTCATGCCGGCTGCCGGCCAGCCCCACTACAGCCTATGCCATCGCCAGCAACTCACAGCAACCCAGCTCCAGGTTGAGCTGTTGTTCACCATCTTAGCTGTAGAGGGCGCAGTGTCACTGGCCCTAATGTGGGATCCGAACTGGGGCTCTGCTGCTCAGAACTGGCATCCCAAGCCAACTCTTAACCAACGCACCACTCAGCCAGCCCTCCTATGGACACTTTTAAGCCTTCATCAGCCCTGACTTCTCTTTGCCATCCAGCTTAGTTAACTTTCCCGTACTTATAAAAACAATATCCTTCCATTAAGTTGTACAACTCTATTCTCTTCTAGTTTTCAGACTTTTCCAAGACTTCTTTTTTCTCTTCCACCCTTGAGGTCCTCATGGTCATGGCCTCAACCTCTACTCTTCTTCCCAACATGCTGTCTGTGGGAGACAGTTTTCACTGCTTTGGATTCAACCACCACATGGACATCCTGTGTACATCACCTACCCAATCTCCCTCCTGAATTCCGCTTTGCACATCAGAGAGATCCACTCAAGTGTTCCATAGACTCTCAAACTTAACACTAGCTTATTATTTCCACATATCGAAACCCTTTTTTGCCTACTACAGCCTCTCTATGTTAAAGCCATACCCAAGGGTCTAAAGCAGAACTTTCGTCATTAACATTAGCAACTTCCTCTCCCTTATCTCCCAGACCTAGTCTGTCTACAGGAATGTCCATTTCTCCACTCATATATTTATTATCTTACACCTGTAATATTGCTAACCTTGTAATTGGTCTTTCTACAGCTATGCTTGCCCGTGTACAGTTTTCCTTTTGGATATCTAGCCAAGTTGACTGTTGAACAGTGTGGGGGTTAGGGACACTAAAGACCTGCCCCACATAGTCAAAAATCTGTATATAACTTCTGACTTAACAATTGTCCCACGGTATCCTCGGGGGATTGGTTCCAGGACTAGCCCCCACCACCACTCCCCTACGGATACCAAAATCTGTGGATGCTCAAGTCCCTTATATAAGATGGTGTAGAGCAATGCATACAGTCAGCACTCCACACCCATGGATCCCAAAGCTAGGATACAGAAGGCCAACTGTACACTTAATGAAAAAATCATATAAGTGGACCTGTGTATTTCAAACCCATGTTGTTCAAGGGTCAACTGCAATCTTTCTCAAGTGCAAGCTGATGGCTTCACTCTTTTGACTAAAACTCCCCATTGCCTATAAGAAAAAAGTCTAAACTCCTTAGTAGGGCCTTCAGAGTAAAAGCAGGCAAATTTACTAAATGACAGTTTGCTGAATGGCCAACTCACCTAGCTGACCGTTTACCCAGTGCTGAGCAGCTAAATGATGTGCACACAGGCACACAGCCTAGAGGTGGGGCAGGCAGAATATAACCCAGGTGGTGTGACCGCCGAGCCCATGTTTTTTGACAACCATGCTGTGTTCCCGCCTGCAATGACAATGACATAATATCCATGAGGGGAATTTATGTGCAGCACAGGTTCTGCTTTCTTGGAGTCTGTGCTTTTATTAGGCATCATAATCCTGGCTAACTTTTAGTTTGTGTTTCTTATGTGCTAAACTCTGTGCCACCTGCTCTGATGGCACTATCCTGTTTCACCCTCATAACGTCATACGAGGCAGCCACTATTGCTGTTTCTATTTTATAGCTGAGGAAGTTGACTCTCAGAGAAGAAATGTGCTAAGTCACTCAGCTGGGATGTGCTAGAATAGGGATTTGAACCCAGGTCTTTTAGCACCTCAGTGCACATGCCCTTCACCACGGCCCCCCTCAAAGGGCTTAGGAATCTGAAACGAAGAGAGGTTATAAGTGCTGAACGCTATGGGGCAGACAGCAACTGCTTCCAGAGTTAAGTAGAAGTTGGGATCAGTTTCTGGTCAGACAAGACATCTCACAAGACAGATTTAGACACGTGGAGGGGAAAAGAGGGTCTTCTAGGCAGAATAGTAAAACAGATGATGTGAAGAACCCCATTTAATCCTCCTGGAGAACAGGGGAACTGAAGAGGAGCTGTAATCCCCCACAACCGGACTGTCATCAGCCACCAAGTGGGTGAGGGTTCTGTCTTTTTGAAACTCCTTTTCCATCCAAACAGCAGAGCATGCAGTGCATGATGGCACAGAGACTAATACAAGCAGGGTTTGGCCAGCCACTTCCCGCCAGCGTGTGGGCGATCTGTGAGCACGCGGGTGTATGCACAGGAACCAGATCCAAGCCTGAGGAAACACTTAGCACTGGCTTGTTCACTTGCTCAGGGTCTGGAAATTACACAGGAATCTTATCTGACACATTCCTCAAAGGCAGCTTTTACTGTATTCCTGGATTGGCCGATTGCACTCCCTCAGGGGGCGGCAGGGCCAGCCTCCGCGGGGCCGGTTCCTCCTGGCCTCAGCATGTGATGGGACGTCTTGCTCATGGATGGATTTGCCGCCACACTGGGTTCAGTGTGATATTTTTGTTGCAGGAAGTGAAACTGTAAAGGCCAGAAACTCCACTATGGAGAGACCACATTTATGTTTCCCCATTTTTGTGTAAGCTGTTCATCTACACTGTGGGGGAGATGTTTTTGCAATTCTGAAAAATATATTTTATATGGAGCATGAGAAAAAAGAATGAGAACCGTCAGCTCCTACATCATAATACTTTTGTGAGGTTCAGAGGACCAGGCTTATATGCGTGTGGGATGAAGACACTTCCTGAATGGATCTAGACGCAATCCAGTGATCTTAAGAAAGAAGAGAAAGACAGGGGCACAGTCTTGGAGTCTAGTAGGTGCATGTGTGCCTAGGATGATTACCTGAGTGGAACAGAAAGGAACAGAGGGGAGAAAAAGGAAGAAACTACAGTAAGTCCTCACTTGATGTCATCGTTGAGAGGTTCTGTGACTTTAAACAAAATGACATATAACGAAACCAGTTTCACCACTGGCTCATTGCTATAAACAAGAATTAAGTTCCTACAGCATCTCATCAATGTTATAACGAATGACATTGGATGAAATGATGATATTTGAGGACTTGCTGTATAAGGTTTCTGCATAGCTTTGCTTTGGTCTCCTGGGCTTCTTAGGCAAGAACACTATAACTTTGCAATATTTGCAAAATACTCCACCAAACATTATTTCCCAGAAGAAATTTGGGCACTTGGGGAATTATGTCAACTTTGACATTCACTGAACATTGGTTAGCAGAGAAGGTCAATAATACTATCTACATAGCGCATGACAGATTTCCCAGACTTGTACAAAACCAGACTCATGATCTTACTCCCACCGTATATACTCCCCTCACATGGAAATTGCATTCTCCAACCTTTCAGTCAACATGATACAAACCCGAGTAATCTTTGACAGCTTTTTTAGTTGCCAAATCCCATCAAATTTACAGTCGCAAAAAGACTCCCACTGATACCAATTCAAATACATTAATGTATGGATTGGACACTTAACTTTATGTTGTGCCATCTACTTCTTGTTTATATTAGGAAATAGCTTCGTAACTGGTCTTTCTACCTCAAGTCTTCACACTGATGAGTCACTGTAAGTACTTTTACCAGATTAACACTTGTTAAGATTACTTCCATGCTCTCAGTATCATCCTGGGCAAATTGCCTGACTTCTCTTGGTTTAAGTTTCCTCATTCATAAACAGGTGATAATAATACCTAGCTCAAATGCTTATTGTGGATATTGCATGAGTTACGGTATTTAAAGCACTTAGAATTTTAAAATATCTAGTATATAAAAAGCACTCAATAAATGTGACAGTAGAGAAAGCAGTAGTAGTAGTAGTAGTAGTAGTAGTAGTAGTAGTAGTAGTAGTAGTATAAATAGTTACAGAGTATGACTCCTGCCATCCCTAAAGTCTAAAATTATTAGCTAGTACTCAGTAACTTCCGTGAAGATGCCTAAGGCATTTCCAGTCCTTTCTTCTTTCTTACCTCGTTACACACCCTGCCTCCCAGCCAAATGCTACATCCTGAGTTCTTCTGAACCTGCTTTTCTTCACTGCGTTAGTTAAGAAAAATTTACCTCTGGCTAGCTAGTTTAGGCAAAAAGGGGAATTTATTGGAGGGCTACTTAAGGAATCCATGGAAAAGATGAAGAACTGGGACTGAGGAAGAGTAGAAATCTGGGCAGCTTGAGGAATCTCCCTAATCAGATGCTGTCATAACCTGACTCAATTGCCAGGTTCTGTGTCTCAGTTCAAAATTTATAATAGCTTAGAGAATGTCATTTGCCCAGCTGGTATCAACCTCACAGTGAATGAATTGTACCAGGGGAATCAAACAGCTGCTGATTGAGGTAATCTCCAAAGATGGGAGAATCACTGTGAGCCAGCAGATACCCAAGAGAAATCTCTTGTACCCATATTGGTACTCTTGTCCACACTCTCCTTTTCCTTCCATCCTAATAACCTACCCATTTGACAAAGCCCAACTTGTCCCATTTCTTTTCAGAAGTCCTTTCCAATTTCTCTCCCTGCCACTCCTCATCCCAACTAAAGTATTTATTTTCTCTTCTGCACATCTATAGAACCTTGTTTACACTTCCATCTTAGCATATATCATGTTCTGCTTTTATGTTTGTATTATAGTTATTCATCCATGGTCTTACCGCCCTCTACTTAATGGTGAGCTCCTATAGAGAAAAGCATGTTATTGTTACATTCTTCCACATTGTACCTGGCACGGTGCCTCACATATGCATTGGAGGCACTTGACACATGCTATAGTGGACTAGAAAGGGATGTGGACTTTGAAGCCAGACTTCAAGCAGGGCTCTCATTTCTTCATTTATTAGCAGCACAACTCGGAACAAGTCACTCACCCAGAGACTCTTGGCTTATTTGTCTGTAGAACTAGGTAAACCATTGCCTATCTTAGAGGACTGCAAGTGCCCAATGGGTTAACATTATCACCCAGCTAAGTGTCTGGCACATAATGGGCACTGAAAACATGTTGGCTCTTTTCTCTTTGATAAATATCCAATTGTATTTCTCTATAAGAACAAACAGCTTGAGAACAGACCTGGCAATTTCTGGGTAAAATTTCCTTAAGTTAAATATTAGATAATCCAGCCCCCTGAGAAATCACAAATTTCATAATTGTTCATATTCACTTTCAAATTACAATTTCAACATGTAAGGTTTAAATTATTGTTCAGAGATTTACTTTTTATTGGAGAATAAGGAAATGTGACTAGTATGTTCACACAAACAACAGAAAAAGCTATACCAGAAGAGACCTTGAAGTCATAAAATCTTGCATATGATGAGTTAAAATCAGCATCTTTAGGATTTATGAGCCCAATTATAGAAATTACACTAAATGCATTTCAATGGTATTTTACTAAAACTCTCCCTGTTTTCTAAAGGACTTTTAAACCCAAATAATTTAAAATATGTTTTAATGGAAAAAAGAAAAGCTACAAGTGGGATCCAACGATGAGACCCAGATGTGAAGCTGTGAGATGTGATTCCAGATGCATCTGGCTGCTCATTGGCCACTGTGGTAGTGGTGTTGATGTTTATAGAGCTACCTTTTCACATGTGACATAGTTAAACTTCAGATGGACAGTCTGGAGACTTCTGTGTTTATCTGGATGTTAGTGTCTTTGAATGTGCTTTGAATCAAAGCCCTTCCTTAACAGCAAGCTCTGCAGTTTTCTTAAGTTGAGGAAACTGAAAGAATGAATAAAGCCACATGAAGACTTAGGTTTAATTATTGTTCATAGGAAAAAAAGGTGTTCAGATTTATAAGTATAATCTTCTGTTAAATATATACACAGCATAGTGAAATAGAAGGGAAAAATTAAATTATCTATGAGTAAAGGGTGATATGATCTGCTATAATCTTAATATAATTGTATATATAATGATGCATTTTTTAATGGGACTGCCTTATGGGAATCCCAGGTAGGAATGGCCTTTTCATGAAATGTTGTCTAACTTATAAATACCTCCCATGAGATTCACCCACTTTGTTTATTAAACACTCACTTTGTTTATTAACACACAGCACAGAGTTCACATAGGGTGAGTAGGTATTTCTACTCACTGTAGAATCCTTGTCATTTTACTGGTTGTGTTTCTTGCACTTATGCTTTTAATTGCTGGCATTATTTGGCAACAAAGGATAAAATATAAGGTCTTCCCAATGAGCACAGTTACTAAAATTAAAAAGAGCATTTGTAATTCAATAGATTTTGGCACAAGTTATCATGTGCTAGATCCTAGATTCAGAGGTCAATAAAAACCATCTCCTACACTCAGGGAGCTTACAAACTAGTAAGAGACATAGGTGGGGGGGGGGGAAGCAAGCATAATACAATCTGACAAATGCATTAATGGGTGGGGGGGGGAACACACATCATGCTAAGGGAGCCAATGAGAGGCAAGGAAGGGTAATGGATAGTTAGCTGGAGTTGTCTAGAGGACTTGATGCCTCCATTGAGTCTTAGAATGAGTTGATGATGTATACAACAAAGAAGAGGCATTCCAAAGAGAGTATCAGACTCATAGGTACAGAAGCTGTACCTGTGAACTTCAAATCTAGCTCAGTAAGGCTGGGTCACAGAGTGTGGGAGTGGGAAGAATGAAGGGACGTTGTAAGAGATTAAGAAGAGGAGGTAGAAAATGACAGATCACAAAATATCCTATATGACCTGTATTTTACCTTGAAAGTAATGATGAGCCATTAAAGTATTTTAAGCAGGAATGACTTAGCCACATGTATGTTTTGTAAAGTTGTATTGACGAAGGATGGAGAGTGGAGTAGGTGAGGGTAAGGCTGGCAAGCCTGGAAACAGGAAGGCATTTAGGAAGCTGTTGCCTTCATTGAGGTGAGAAATTATTTTAGGAAGTTCTCTTCTTAAGGATGGAAAGAAAACATACATTTATTTGAAAGGTATTGAGGAAGTCGTGAAACCCAGTACACAGGGCTGAGAAAGAGGAAGGAGTAAAAATGAATGTGGAATGTTTGGCCTGAGCAGCTAGATGAATGTTAGTTCAAGGCACCAAAAGAGGGAACACTGGAGGAGCAGTAGGTTTTTGTAGAAGGCAATGAGCTCGTTTTGCTGTGCATTGCATCTGAGGTGTCTGTGAAATCCCAAGTAAGCAGACAGTTATAAGGATCTGCAGCTCAGAGAGAAATCAAGCCTAAAGATATAGATAGATTTAAATACGGTCAGAATATTGATTCTTGAAGCCATTTGGAGTAGATGAGGTCAGTGTGTAGATGGAGACAAGAAAGAGAACATAAAATAGCCCCTTGGAATATGATAATAGAAGGAGAACCTATAGGGACTAAAAAGAGTGGGCAGGAAGAAAATCAGGAGGGAAAGATGAAATGGAAACCAGTATAGGAGGAGGGTATAGTCCAGATGTCAGATAACACAGAGAGGTCCAGTACTCTGTGCAGTTTGATAACTATTGGTGACTACGGCGAGCCCATGTGGAACGTTGGAGGAAGAAAGCAGACTGCGGCAGGAAGTTGGTATTAAATATGCCACAACTTAAAAAGAAAGTGCTGTTTAATGTCTGTAGCATAGCATGTGTTGCTAGGCATGAAGAAAGTTTTCTTTGTGTTGTCATCTTGGCATAATCCATCTATGTGACCTCTTCCATTCAGTACCCCGAGCTGATGGTCGCATCCTACAACAACAATGAAGATGCGCCCCATGAACCAGATGGAGTGGCCTTGGTTTGGAACATGAAGTTTAAGAAAACCACACCAGAATACGTCTTCCACTGTCAGGTAGGAGTCAGCACAGTAAAAATAACTTACATCTCCTGCTAGACCAAATATAGTTCCTGCTGCCTTGCATCTGTCTTATGTGGAGAGGAAGAACCAAGTTTAAAAATGGAATTGTTGACAATTTTGGAAAATTCCCCCACAGTAACCTATGTTTTGAGAAAGTGGCAACCCTCTCCAAACAGTTAGGAAGCCTGGTTGGGGACTGTGTGTCATTTTCTTTCTATTTAAAACCACCCCCATAAAGATGAGTTTATAAAGACCTCGCACTTATGAAGAAATCCTGGTGTACCACTTCCTCTGCTTAGCAGCAACATATGCTTGCCCACCCACGTGGACATCCTCAGAGCACTACCATTTCAAGTTCCCTCCTCTCTCTGAAATGCAGTTCAATGGGATTATTTCGCCAGTCTTACATTTACGGGCGCCATCTTGCTTACAGATCATGAGATTTTTGTAGCCTGTTTAGGGGAAGACCTCTTCACTAATCTTTTTTGAATTGTTGAGAAATATTGATGCTGTTATCCGTTTGCAAGTGTAGAAATCACTTCAAATAGTTGTAGATAGTTTACTCCTTGTGTCTGCTGACACGTTTGTCTTCTCTTCCATTCAACACAATACAGGCTGAAATTATGTTACACTTGCAAGCATTCAGCTTTGCTCTGTTGCCATGACTTTGTCTAAATAATAGGCCTCAGCAGTGGCCAATACGCCAACCCCTTTATTAATGTCCCTCTCCTGTGATTATGCACAGGAAAATGCAAAACAAACATTCCAGCTCAAAGTTTCAGTTCCTCAAATATTACGATTCAGATGTATGGAGTGGCAGATTGACTAGAAATATATCAGTTAAAGAGGGTGGGTAAACCTGTTGATTTTTGGAAGCCTAGTGCCATTTTATATCTAAGAGCTAAGTATCTTTTTGAACTGAAATATGTTTAGACTTTAGAACATTATCAGATGTAATTTGGGGAACAGGAGCTGCTGGAATAAAAGTCCCAGCTTAACCTGATTGAGTAACCTCTAACTCTCGCCATGTTTTTCTAATTTGCTATCTTAAAAAACAACAAGAAGTCTAGGTCTACATAATAAATAACCTTTATTTTTTGAACCTTTGAAATAAGAACAGTTTTTTTTCTTTCTTTTTTTAAGATTATCAAATTTGTCAGTTTGATATGCTCTTTCTGTAAACACAGAAGCACAAAATCTTAATTTCATTCAGTTTTAAGAGGTTTGTTGAATTACCAGGAAAATACTAAAAGGATTATGGGGTAAACAGAAGCACATTTTTGAGAAACAGGGCCATTTAAACTATTTTGATATTACATAAAGCATATCTTGAATTTAAAAAACAAAATAACAAACAAGAGGTAACAATATATTGTTTTAGTTGATGTACATACTGTTAATCAAAATTTAAAAAATATATATTAACTGACTATAGGTAGCTTATGACAATAACAATTTGATACGATGCTTAATATTCACAACATTGTATAGTAAACAGGTCAGTAGAACCATAATAATGCTGAGTGAAGAACCACATTTCAAAGGTCTTTGGAATTAATGGGAATTTTAAAATTACCTGTTTTATCGCACAATACTTAATACCAGTATTGACTGAAAAGAGCATCCTCTCTTTCCTCTCCTGGTATCTTTAGGATCAATTTATTAAAGATCTCACCAACACACATTTAATTTTATTTTAATTTCCCCATTAAATGATCCAATATATGTATATTAGAAGAAAATATATTCCTGGTTTAAAAAAAAAGGCAGAAGTACTCTGAATATCCTACCAAAAGATGCTGACGAAAATATCTCTGTATCCCCCAACTTCCTACAATTGCCTTCACTTCACCTGGTGACCAGAGCGGATGGGGGTTCTAAACTCTCCGTAGCATTCCCACTAGGAGTAAAATGAGAATCTTAATACTTTTAACCTTTGGAGTTGATTAAGTAACATGTGCAAAAGACCACGAGGACTCTGAGAGCCTAGGTACCAAATAAAAGCTACTCAGTTCAAACACACACATGCTTAAAGATATTGAAAATCATGATTGTGCTACTCAGATAAGAATGATAAGTAGTACATATAAATGACCCTTAATATTCATGAAAGATACATTTGGAAAATCTATGACAACCTAAATTGCTGAATACCACTGTAGTATCTTTTCTGTGATTAAATTATTTCTCTTAAACTTATCTAACTGTAGGGGACAGACTGTATCACCAGCTCTCTGAAAATAAAAAGGGAACGAGTTTCCATCACTCTCTGGAGAGGAGGAAATGGGATAAGTGGGCACAGCCAAAGTAGTTATGAAGCCCTTCTGATGAGGACCCCTGGTAGTTTGAATATGCAGCAATAGTTGGAAACCACTAGAATATAGAGGAGAGACAAAGAAAGGCGATTATAAAGTGACAACAGTGGTCAGCCTCTTTATTTGGAAGTGTGGGACTTTTCTTCCTGCCCCACAATTCCCTTTTCCTCTTTTGCCCAACCTAAAGTGACGGTTCTTGCCTTTGTTACTCTGATGCTGATCTCCTACCTGTTAGAGAAGTTTCCTAACCAACTCCCTTGTTCCTTCCCACCTTGCCTATGCCCTCCCATATCCTAACTTCAGCTGTTCCCTTGCCCCCAACACACACACACACACACACACACACACACACACACACACACACACATACTCTTCCTCCAGCTCACTCTTCCCGAGATCTGCTTCAGTGGTGGATGGTCAGAAGACCCGGAGTTGTTTTCCCAGGAATGGGCTCAAGTCCACATTGTGCATTGGAGAGCTGGAGAGTACCATTTCTTTTGGTATAGTGACACACCTTGCTATAGTTGATATCTGTGAAGTTAGGATAAAAGCCAGGTAAATATCATTGGCTTCCAGAACAAAACAAAGTACTGTAATCCTGAGTATGCCTGAGCTGATGGGAGACCAAACCAGGAGTGACTTAAGGAGCCAGGAGAGTTATAGATGAATTAGTAGATGGAGGTTATGTGGAGGGAAAAAATAATAAGGGCAGTTTAGTTACTGTGTACTGAACTCTAATAACTAGAGTGACTATAACTACATTTGTCTGTATTTCCCACGTTCCCAGCACTTCTGCCTTCGTGATCTCATTGATCCTTTCACCAGTGCAGCAGAAAATATTTTATTATTCTTCTTTTCCAGTTGAGAGAGTTCTCACCTTAAAGGTCCCTCAGCTAGTGAGCAGTAGAGCGAATACTGGAACCAAGTCTCATTCTCATAGGCTGCATTCAGTGATGGGACCATGTGGGCCTGATAGCAGAGGCTGTGTGGTTCATTCAAGGAGGATTATTGGCAGCCTGGCACAAGATGTTGGTTAGACAGGGTCCTAGAGGTGGCTACTACAAATAGAAGCTAGACCTCAAAGGATGTTCAGCAACCCCTGGAGGAGGTCTCAAGTCATGTACAAGCCACTGCTGGATTGGCTTTGATACTTGAAGCCCCGCAGCCTGACATCATTGGCCTGAGGCAAGGCAAAACTACATCCGGGGCCTGGAATAGTCAGGCAGAAGAGCATCCACCCACCATGGACCTCAGGGCACTCTCCTGCCTGCCTTGTAAGACCTCCTGGGTAGGAAAGTCTTAAAGGGGCACGTGGGTCACTCAAGACCCTCTGGCTGAGTGTGGGCTGGGGAAGGATATGATGGTGAGACAGCCAGTGGGGCTCTCAGCAGTGGGGGCTTTAAAAAAAAACAAAACTATTTTGATACACATATTTAAAAACCTTAAAAAAAGTTAAAGCTGCCAGTCTAGAAATAAAAACAGCAAATTGGAGACCTTGATTGCTAAGCGCGTCTCAGTTACAGTTACAACATGCATGTCTTGATAACTGATGAAGGGAATCAACATCTTCTCAACCTAAAAGGGATTTTGGAGAGGCCACAGAATTCAAATACATATGAGAAAAATCTAACCCACCCCTCCTGCCCCCACTCACCAACCTGTCACTATTTTTCTACATCCTTCCTGATCTCTGACAAAACTTACTTATTACAACTGGTCTTCTCTAGACACTATCTCACTGAAATCAGGCAGTTTGAATGTGCTCCCACCTTCTTCTGTGATGTTGCAATAATTTCATAATTAGATAGTTTGCTTAGTAAGAAAGAGGAGTGTGGGTAGGAAAACACAACAGCTGCCTTACAACGATTGTACTTTTATCATTTTGCCATAATCACATTAGCTATCCATTTCTTGATGATCTCTGTGGATTCTTCATATTTTTTAAAAGTGTATAATTGCAATCAAATCCTTTGGCTCAAAAAAGGGTCATTTCAGGCACTAGAAAGCAAATGCACGAGAAAAAGACATCAGTGTTCTTTTGCAAAGACTGACAGGCTTTTAGCCTAATCATAAAAAGATTACAGTCTGAAGGCTCATTTCTCTCTGTTAAAACTAGCAACGCCAAATACCTTCTACTTCCACGGGCAGCTTTCTGTCTTTACTAAACTGAATTTTTAGTGTGGGCTCTGGTCCTGCATTTTCTATTTTCATTTCAGTAAGAGCTGTCCATACTTGGAAACTATCGGTGGACTCTGCATAGAAATCAGCCGCTCGGCCCCACCGCACAACCTGGCAGCACTCCTGCTGCCTTCTGTAGTGGCTTCTACACACTGTCATTAGATTATGCATTCTGACCACCCTGCATTGCTTACCCTGGTGTGGTCTTTCTCTTTTAAATGGGATGAATAGAATCAGAAATATATATCTTAGAATTATCTGCATTGAGGTAAGTGGAAAAGTTATATTTAGAGGCTTGGCGTGGTCAGAGGATTTTATTTTTACTTTTATTTTTTCCTGATTTGGTTTCTTTGTTCTTAGCATTCTCTTTTTGAGGATTATCTGACAATGACCTGAAATGGACAATGACCTGAAACCCTCTCACTAATTCAGGGGGAAAACAGAACGTGAAGTGGGGTGATATTAACGAACCTCATTTGTGCCAGTGTTTAAAATCCTCGG